CTTTAATAAGGTTACACCATAAAAAACACACAGAAAGAGAAAAAAAAATACAATTTTTTTACTTTATCGTATACAGAGTATAGAGGACGTACTGTAATCGTGCACAAAAAAACACACGAAATTTTGACAGTTTTCGTAGTTTTAGACCCCAGTACTTCATCACATACAGATTATAGGTGACTTATTTTAATTGGGCAAAATTATAAATGCAAATTTATCCTAATTTCGGCGATCTATGCGTAATCAAGTCGGAAAAACTGGGCTTTTCAATTCTGTCAGTATCTCTGTGTGTGTCTGTATGTGTTGTGTGTATGTCTGTGAACACGATAACTTGAGTACCGTTACAGTTTTGCTGATAAAATTTCATATATAAGTATTATATCAAATGTGTAGTTCTGTATCAACTTTTCAACGATTTCTGATAACTGGAAGTGGAACTTATTCTATAACTTGAGAAACTGTTTCAGATAGATAAACGAAATTTCACTTAGAAGTAAAAGATCCAGATTTCTGCCTTCTTTCAAATTGTGAGTAGTTTCCGTTGATCGAAAGTAGTAATTTACGCCATTTCCAGTTTTTAAAAAACGTATTTGAATTTATAAATTGCTAATAATATTCCGCACTATTAGACACATTTTGTTTGGCGTTCACTTGGTGCGCAATTCTTTTTACTACGAGATTCTATCCTAATATATTAAAGCCCATGTGCGCACTTCTCACTCTCTCTCTCTCACTCTCTCTGCAAAATATTTTTACAGGCTATGATATCAGTATCTTCAGCGATGTGTAGAACATGATACTGACTTTTGTTGAAAATAATATGGTGGATGTTTTAAATGTATAAACTAAATTTTATTTAAAGAAGTAAAATAAAAAGAAATGCATATTCGAATGTAGAAATACAATTTTAACTTTACAACCTGAAAATTGTTTATAGTTGTGACAAGAACGCCATAAACAATGACGTCAGATGCTAAATGTTTACTTGGCACTCTGGGTTATCCTTTGAGCACTATGGCGCGTATGTTAGTTTTAAGTAGCCAGGGCCCGTACGCCACTCCCCTACGGTAGTGTAATTCGGGAATCCCGAGAGCGCCCATCTACGTTCCTGACACAAGGGCGGTAACCGAAGTGTGTTCTACCTAATTATTTCGGTGAGTGATTAACATACACTCAAGGTTTTCATGCGGTAGTGTAGGTAAACACGTGTCCCAATATTTTTGATCCAACCGCAGGCATTGTTTACATTTAAATAACTCATTTTTAGAAAACAAGTTCGCACGTCTAAGAACATAGGATCGGTAACGCATTGATGAAACCATTCTTATATATTCCATTAGACTTTCTTTTTATCCCGCGGAAACGTGCGGGGACGGGTAAGCTAGTATATATATATATATATATATATATATATATATATATATATATATATATATATTTATAATATATATATATATATAGGTGCAATCTTCAGTAGACTTTTTATCTCTCTCTACAACTAACAAAAATAAATTATAACTGTATACCAAAAACTCACCTATATCATTTTTAATTACTTAAACTTTCAAAAATAGAATAGATTTTCGTAGAAAAAAAAAGTATTGCTCACCATCTGAACGGCAAACAATATATGTATAATAGTGTGGAATAATGGTATAAATTCATATTCGAAATCGGAAATCACGATAATGACTACTTTCGTTCAACGGAAATTACTCAAAATGTCACAGAACGCAGAGAATTAGATCTATTCAGAGACGTAGCGAGGGGTGCGGACCGCACTGGGTGACACCATTTAGAGGGGTGACACCAGGGCGAAAAATTGCAAATGGACAAAGACAAACGCTCTTTTCCAGTTCCTTTAATGATTAATTAAAGTTAAATAGTCTTTTAAGTACAAATCGACAAATGTCTATATATATATATATATATATATATATATATATATATACTTTTTTTGGGGGGTAGGGGGGGGGGGGGGATGACACAACGAAGTGCCGCACCGGGTGACACCTGACCTAGCGACGCCATTTGATCTATTACTCAATTATGAAGTTAGTTTCATTTATCGATCAGACACAGTACTCAAGCTATGTGCTTTTGAAAGTAGAATAAGTGCCACTTTCGGTTACCGGAAATTGCTGAAAAGTTGATACAGAACTACAAATCAGCGTGTTCACAGATACACACATAATAATTTGATGGCATGATGCGGCTCTTCAGCTCCATGCAAAAATATTAATAATTTTCATATTTTATTTTTAAAACTCTTAATTTTTAAATATTTTTTTCAACACTCTGTGTTGAACGCATAATAATAAATATAAACGATAAACACTCGCTATTATATTAGAATGTTTAGTCACTCCCTATTTCATTGTACTGCCTATTATCTTGGCTATCCCAAATTGAAACATTCAACTTTATGGTAGATATCACAAAGAAACTAAACGAGAAAAATGTAAAACTTCAAGGGAAAAAAACCCAGCCTATGCCTTGCTTGAAGAAGTGGATTGTTTAGAAATTTATTTTATTTTTTTTTTGATACCGAAGATACCGAGAGCGGAAAATTTTGAAAAATCTGAAAACAAATATCACGATGAAACCAATTACTTCAGCATTACCATAAGCAAAATGAAGGATGGATTCACTGAGAGATTTGGGCAATTCAAAACAAATGCAAGTACTCTGACGTTCATAGTAGATCCTCTCAACACAAAAACAAATTAGACTAACTCTGAGCTATTTGGAATTGATGCTGGCTCGCTTCAAATGCAATTGCTGGATTTAAAAAAAAACTGACATTTTTGGAGTGGTAAGTTCACGCATATCAATAGCAAATTAGAAGATTTGGTGGTCCAGTAAAACATGCACGTTTCACTACACAAGTGGACAGGTTTAAAAGAAATGCCGCTAGTTGAGGCGCTCTTATGTGACGCATGGAATAGTCTTGCAGGATGCTACAGTGAGGTAAGGAGTTTGCGTTTGGAGTGCTGACGATCTTCGGGTGAACATATTCATGCGAGCTAGCGTTTTCTTGCATGAATATAATAAAAAGTAAAGAAGCCAACAAAAAATAAAATTCTAGAGGCGTGCTTGAAACTGAAAACAAGTTATGAGCCAGGTTTAAACAAAATTTTAAAAGGCATGCAAGGCCAAACTATTGTAAATATCATTAAACAATTATAGTTATATTACCTTAGCTAAAATTCCTTAATATTTTTTTTTTGCGAAACATGTGTATAAATATTATTTCAATTCTCAAATGTTTTTGAAAACCTAAGCGGAGCTAGGCAGTATGCCTAGTATATCTATAAATTAATTAACGTCTATAAATGAGTGTGTAAAAAAAGAACATTATTCTCTACATAAATACGTATTTTACAGCTCTACACATAGTGCAGATGCTCTCATGTAACTAAACAGACAAAAAAAAAATGAAAAAAAAATACAAACTTGTAAACAAACTTGAAGTTTACTAGTATAGGCCTACTAGCCGTCCTGGTTAGGCCCCGCACTGGGCTCTGTTAAAAGCCTATCTGTAAAGGACCATGACTTGTGTGTTTAGTAGTCTGCATATACCCGGCATTGGCTGGGTTTAGAAAATATATTACTTTTCGAATTAACCCTAACTACAACCAACATAGCTCAAAACACAAATACAAACGCAAACATTACGCAAACACAAACACAACCCCAAAAAAAGAACGCAAACCTAACCCCAAACAAAAACACAAACACAAAAATACAAACCCAAAAACAATCGCAAACCTAACGCAAAGAATAACACACAACAGAAACACAAACTTAAATGCACATATTAACGCATTGTGGTCACAGTCTAGCCGGGTGCGCAAAAATCGCACCACGGCGGAACATCCTGATTGAACTTAGTAAACCACTCTAATACCCCAAGTTATCTATAATCTAGCGCACTCAATTAAACGAACATAGGCGCCATAGTGCTCAAGGAAGGCCCGGGGTGCCAAATAGCACCCTGTCGGGGCGCCGGAGGACGCCTTGGTTTCGATTTACTGAACGACAATAGTAACCCTTTTTACCCACAGCTTATTGCACTCTTTAAAATGAATTTATGCACTATAGGATAGCCCAGGGAGCCGAATTTCAACCTGCCGGGGCGTCGGCGGACACTCTTGATTCAATTTAGCGAACGACTATAATACCTCACGATTATCCGCAAACAGAAAGATAGAAGTAAACATAGATGACATTTACGAGCGGGTTCTAAACTGTTATTGTTTTAAAATAATGTTAAGTAAACAGTACGTATAGTGTGTAAATTAAATAAAAGGCAGTTTTTTAAATATCCGTGTTTTACCTGCAACATTGCACTTTATCAATCCATGCTAATTATGTAATTATTTTTTCCCAACATCAAGTAATAAAAAGTATCCCCCCCCCCCGCCCCGATGTAATGTTTTTTAAGGGAATTAATTGTGTCATTTTAATTTATCAAGAAGTAACTAATGTTAATGGACTAAATTAATTTTCAGACACAATTATAATTTTTGTGAAGGGAGATACATTTTTTAAAAAAAATAGTTTAATACCTATGCCGTCAATTAAAACTATAAATTTGGAAAATGAAATTTGTTTTATAAAACCTTCAATATTATTTTTAGAATCATTAATTTAGATAAAGAGCATTTTTAATATATTACACAATGGCGATCAATTCGAGTTTTTTGTTATATTCCTCTGTTACCGCGTGTCCGTCCACACTTTCGTCCAACAATTACAGCATTGAACTTTAAATATTAGATAGATAGAACAGTACATCTCAAATAAATGTAGCATTTCCAAAGAGTTTGTTTGCCACGGAAACTATTCTACTAAATAAAAGGAATTTTAGTTTTATAAAATGTAGTGACACATTTAATACAATCATTAGACATATTCCGAACAGAGTAGTTTCCCTGGAGTGATCGCTCTACAGACCAGACTATCAGACAATTAGAATTGTAGAAGTAATTAACATTTCATTTAAAACTTCCTGAAATAAAAGGAAACACTTTCTCCACAGTTTCAAAAGCACTTTCTGCGAATCCTTCGTTATAGCCCGCTGAGAAATCCGCCCCCACCACAAACACGTCATCGTTCCCCGACGGCCGTTGCAGGATGGCTGTGACGTCATCGTAATTATACCCGGCTCTCCAAACGACCCGGCCGCCGCCGGTTTGACCCGGTGTCCAAAACTGAGCCGTGGCGTCAACGGGGTCAGGAATTACCCCCCGCTCGATTCCGTGAGCGTCAGCGAGTTCCTTCAGCAGCTCTGTGATTAAAGCTTCAGAAACAACGCCGGCGCCCGGGGCTGAAAATGATGAAGGGGCGCCCACCTCGTTGAGTAACGCCATTCTCATGGCCTTGGATTCATCCGCGTAGCTTGCAAGGAGGATGTAGTTTCCGGTGTGGTCTGATCGGCCCCAGTCCAACGCTTCCTTGAAGGGCAGGTCCGTGGTTGTCATGGCTGTGGGGTTGCTGGAGTTGTGCAACCACCACGGTCTGGGGAAGCTCATGAAGATCTGGGCCGTTGGGACCTCTCGCAGGGCTTTTAGGGCGTTGATCATTCTTTTCTCTCTACACGGTAAAAATAGAAGATTTTTAAAAAATTAAAAATTTAATAGGGCTGGTAAGTAGGTCACCAACCAGTTCTACGGCTTAATAAAACCTGCATGAGCCATTGAACTGGTTGGGGACCTACTTACCAGCCCTATTACGTTATCATTTCTAATAATCACGTGTTGTTGAAACTGATATAGAAATAAATTTATTGAATATAATATCGTCATTTTCTGCAGGCATTGAGAAAGTCTGCGCCGAATGATATAATTTACAGTGTTTCTTGCAAACTTTTTTCTCGGGGGGGGGGGGGGGGGGGAATGGGGGAAGGGGCACTTGATATTTTCTGGGGTGCGGACAACATTTTCCAGGGAGGGGGCTGATACTGGTAAAAGTATGTTTTCTTTATAATTTCAATTCGTTCGGGGGGGGGGGGGGGAGGGCGGTAGACTTTCTATAGAGATGCCTGGATGAAGCTCTGATCATTTGTAGCAGTACTGTGCTATTAAAAAGCTTCAAGTAGCCCTCACCCAACCCAAGAAGAATAATGTCAAATATTGACCCCCCCCCCCCAAACATGCATGGGCAATGTCCACAACAAACCACCTTAGCACTTCCCACTCAATTTGCTGTAGGGTAGCTTTAGAGGTGGCCAGGACAACTTTTCTCGCACAAACCAAATCTACATCTTCCTGTGAAAAAATAAATTAAATAATCAAATTAAAATATTAAAACCTGTCTTCGACATGGAGCTTTAGTTACCAGACTCAATGTTTGAATATGTGTATGTTTGTGCTTGTGTGCATTGATGTGTGTGTGTGTGGGAGAGAGAGAGAAAGAGAGAGAGTGAGAGAGGGTAAGTGTGTCTTGGAAAAAAGTTGCGGATTTTTTTACAGAAAAAAAACAACTAAAAATTTGTGTTTGCTTATTTTAAAAATTAATACCACGCGCAACGCCAGTGTAAAATGTCAATGTGACCTTATTACCAGTGACCTTACCGTGTCATAGGTGTGTCCGTCCAGTGAACGTGTGTGTGTAAACCTCAGCACGTACCCCTCCCCGCCCCTGACCAAAGACTTGAGACGTCTGTTCAGGTTCAGTTTAAATCTGTAAAGTATAAACACACTACAGCAAACAGGATATTATTTATACACAAAAACTACCCCGAAAATCTCACACTAAGTAATGGTATCGATGCTACTTTATAACATAATTACGTTGACAATCCTATGAGTATTAGTGTTGTTAGCGTTACAAAGACATTCATTTTTACTAAGTTCCTATTTGTATTCAAAGATATCGAGCTTGGATATGTTCCAAAATTTCACAAGGAGTTCAGGGTTAAAAACTAACAATGGTGACTGCCTAAAGATAATCTTGTTCTTTGTGTATTCTCGGTTTACACATTCATCATGCTTGACCGTGACCTAGAGAGACACCCAGTAGCTTACTCAGTACTATTAGGTGCCCAGCATTATATGTGTAATTCTGCAACCCAATCTTGTTAATATCTCACACACTTCCTTCCCAAAATTAAAAAAAAATAATTCTTGAATGCTAGTCGACAGATTAACTCTACTCCACCTATCCATATTGGTATTCAGATAAGAGCTGAATGAACCCTAAATGGTACAAACCTCTTGTTGGACTCCAGGAACGTCTTGACCAGTTGACGTGGGAGGGCGTCTTGTTCCTTGACGTACATCATCTGGTAGTCTCCACTGTTTGCAATATTTAAAGACAAAACAATTTAACTAAGTCTCCGCTGTTTCCAATGTTTAAAGACAAAAAAATTTAAATAAGTGCCCACTGTTTCCAATGTTTAAAGACAAAACAATTTAACTAAGTCTCCGCTGTTTCCAATATTTAAAGACAAAAACAATTTAACTAAGTCGCCGCTGTTTATAATATTTAAAGACAAAAACAATTTAACAAAGTCGCCGCTGTTTCCAATATTTAAAGACAAAACAATTTAACTAAGTGCCCACTGTTTCCAATATTTAAAGACAAAAACAATTTAACTAAGTCCCCGCTGTTTATAATATTTAAAGACAAAAACAATTTAACAAAGTCCCCGCTGTTTCCAATATTTAAAGACAAAAACAATTAAACTAAGGTCCGCTGTTTCCAATATTTAAAGACAAAAACAATTAAACTAAGGTCCGCTGTTTCCAATATTTAAAGACAAAAACAATTAAACTAAGGTCCGCTGTTTCCAATATATCACCCGGGCATGATTGTGTTTAGTTTAAAGGATTTATAATAGCGCTTAGGGGCGATAAATTGCATTGTGTTACAGTCTATTTTAATCTTCTTTTTATTGATGTTTCTCTTCATTTTGTTAATCTGTAGTTTTGAACACAAATTGGCACCAGAAAACTATTGTCTTGTGAACTTTTTTTGAGTAGTGGGAAGGGTTAAACCCGATCAATTTAATTAATCTAGGACAGGGGTCTCCAAACATTTCAGTCCGAGGGCCGCATTAACTATCAAATTTCAGTTCGGGGGCCAGTTTCTTCCAGGCATGTCTTTGATTATTCTGGACAAAGTTCCTCAGCCATCACTATCAAACGTTTTTTTCCGTGGACAAAAAGATCTCCGCGGGCCGGATGAGACGACCTCGCGGGCCGCATTTGGCTCGCGGGCCGTAGTTTGGAGACCCCTGATCTAGGATAATATTGAAGAAAGGAAACTTTCGTTCTGTTTGATAATTTTGGAAGACCTAACTGTTTTTTCCTATGTTATTAAAGTACTGATGTACTATTTCATAAATTGTCTGATAACGTATGTTTTAAATACCTGTTTTGTTGTACTTACTTTGTACATACCTGTTTTGTTGTACTTATGTTGTACGTCCTGTTTTGTTGTACTTACTTTGTACGTACCTGTTTTGTTGTACTTACTTTGTACGTACCTGTTTTGTTGTACTTATGTTGTACATACCTGTTTTGTTGCACTTATCTTATGTTGTACGTACCTGTTTTGTTGTACTTATGTTGTACGTACCAGTTTTGTCCTAGATTGTTAACGAAGACGGTAAGTACTAAAGTATCTATTCATGAATTGTCTTATAAGTATATTTTACCTACCTGTTTTGTTGTACTTATGTTGTACGTACCAGTTTTGTCCTAGATTGTTAACGAAGACGGTAAGTACTGAGGTATCTATTCATGAATTGTTTTATAAGTATATTTTACCTACCTGTTTTGTTGTACTTATGTTGTACGTACCAGTTTTGTCCTAGATTGTTAACGAAGACGGTAAGTACTGAAGTATCTATTCATGAATTGTCTTATAAGTATATTTTACCTACCTGTTTTGTCCTAGATTATTAACGAAGACGGTAAGTACTGAGGTATCTGAAGCAGTATCTGACTCGTACACCAATGTTTCTTTGATGAAGGCCTTTCCTTCAGGGGAAGCAACCATGTCAAAAGCTTCATCGAATCTGTTTATATGGATTACTCATCTCAGTCAAACAGATGGGGAGGGGGGGGGGGGGTTAACTCTCAAAATAAATCCCCTTTTCGGACCTGTCAGTCAATGGGGTAAGTGAAGTAGAGTTTACTTGTTTCTGTGAACACGACATATGAAGGGATAGTATGATAAGTTCTATATACTTTACATAACGTGAGTTAAATATTCACCACAGCTGGATGGACTTAGAGATTTGAACCCGGATTCGAACTCGAGACTTTCGGATTAGCAGTCTAGCGTTTTAAACTGTTAGCAAAAAAAAATTATTGTTCTTTCTTTGTTCTTAATTGGTAATGTTTAACGGGATTTTCTCAAGCATAATTATCAAACTGCCATAAGGCATATCGGCATTTGACTCCGATTCCAGAATACCTCTCTTTAAAAAAACGATTTGCTTCCATAGCCTCTGTCCATCAAAGAACAAATTACAAACAGAAGTAAACTTGTTTAGTTTTGGAGTTGTCTCTCCTAGATGAGTTGCTGTCCCCAGCCAACAAGCCTCATCTGCCCGGGAGATTCATCTTGGGACTTTTCGGTTTAGCAACCGTGAGCTTTACCTACCATACCACACTGAACATCAATTTAAGCTTCTAAAATCTTGTTTCTGCTTCAGTCACACGTAATATAAATATGATGTACCTTTCAAAACAAAATATGGGATTTGTTCCAGAGTTACCAGCTGTGGAATGGAACTTACGGAACCTGGTACAAGAACCTTCCATCTGGAACCTGAAGTTGAAGAAAGATTTCCCGTGTCTCTTCGGTGCCGTTGTAACCTGTCAGCTTCTCAAGGTAGTACCTGGTTACGACAGGTGAACTCAGGTAAGAGACGTGACAGCAGGTATAGTAAGGGTAAGAGCAGTGACAGTAGATGCGGTATAGGTATACGCATTATAAGTATGTGTAGTACAGTTAAGAGTAGTGACAGTAGGTGTAGTATATGTATAAGAAGTGATAGTAGGTGTAGTATATGTATAAGAAGTGATAGTAGGTGTGGTATATGTATGAGAAGTGACAGTAGGTGTAGTATATGTATGAGAAGTGACAGTAGGTTTAGTTTATGTATGAGTAGTGACAGTAGGTGTAGTATATGTATGAGAAGTGACAGTAGGTTTAGTTTATGTATGAGTAGTGACAGTAGGTTTAGTTTATGTATGAGTAGTGACAGTAGGTTTAGTTTATGTATGAGTAGTGACAGTAGGTGTAGTATATGTATGAGAAGTGACAGTAGGTTTAGTTTATGTATGAGTAGTGACAGTAGGTTTAGTTTATGTATGAGTAGTGACAGTAGGTTTAGTTTATGTATGAGTAGTGACAGTAGGTTTAGTTTATGTATGAGTAGTGACAGTAGGTGTAGTATATGTATGAGAAGTGACAGTAGGTGTAGTATATGTATGAGAAGTGACAGTAGGTGTAGTATATGTATGAGAAGTGACAGTATGTGTAGTATATGTATGAGAAGTGACAGTAGGTGTAGTACATGTATGAGAAGTGACAGTAGGTGTAGTATATGTATGAGAAGTGACAGTAGGTGTAGTATATGTATGAGAAGTGACAGTAGGTGTAGTATATGTATGAGAAGTGACAGTAGGTGTAGTATATGTATGAGAAGTGACAGTAGGTGTAGTATATGTATGAGAAGTGACAGTAGGTGTAGTATATGTATGAGAAGTGACAGTAGGTGTAGTATATGTATGAGAAGTGACAGTAGGTGTAGTATATGTATGAGAAGTGACAGTAGGTGTAGTATATGTATGAGAAGTGACAGTAGGTGTAGTATATGTATGAGAAGTGACAGTAGGTGTAGTATATGTATGAGAAGTGACAGTAGGTGTAGTATATGTATGAGAAGTGACAGTAGGTGTAGTATATGTATGAGAAGTGACAGTAGGTGTAGTATATGTATGAGAAGTGACAGTAGGTGTAGTATATGTATGAGAAGTGACAGTAGGTGTAGTATATGTATGAGAAGTGACAGTAGGTGTAGTATATGTATGAGAAGTGACAGTAGGTGTAGTATATGTATGAGAAGTGACAGTAGGTGTAGTATATGTATGAGAAGTGACAGTAGGTGTAGTATATGTATGAGAAGTGACAGTAGGTGTAGTATATGTATGAAAAGTGACAGTAGGTGTAGTATATGTATGAGAAGTGACAGTAGGTGTAGTATATGTATGAGAAGTGACAGTAGGTATAGTATATGTATGAGAAGTGACAGTAGGTATAGTATATGTATGAGAAGTGACAGTAGGTGTAGTATATGTATGAGAAGTGACAGTAGGTATAGTATATGTATGAGAAGTGACAGTAGGTGTAGTATATGTATGAGAAGTGACAGTAGGTGTAGTATATGTATGAGAAGTGACAGTAGGTGTAGTATATGTATGAGAAGTGACAGTAGGTGTAGTATATGTATGAGAAGTGACAGTAGGTGTAGTATATGTATGAGAAGTGACAGTAGGTGTAGTATATGTATGAGAAGTGACAGTAGGTGTAGTATATGTATGAGAAGTGACAGTAGGTGTAGTATATGTATGAGAAGTGACAGTAGGTGTAGTATATGTATGAGAAGTGACAGTAGGTGTAGTATATGTATGAGAAGTGACAGTAGGTGTAGTATATGTATGAGAAGTGACAGTAGGTGTAGTATATGTATGAGAAGTGACAGTAGGTGTAGTATATGTATGAGAAGTGACAGTAGGTGTAGTATATGTATGAGAAGTGACAGTAGGTGTAGTATATGTATGAGAAGTGACAGTAGGTGTAGTATATGTATGAGAAGTGACAGTAGGTGTAGTATATGTATGAGAAGTGACAGTAGGTGTAGTATATGTATGAGAAGTGACAGTAGGTGTAGTATATGTATGAGAAGTGACAGTAGGTGTAGTATATGTATGAGAAGTGACAGTAGGTGTAGTATATGTATGAGAAGTGACAGTAGGTGTAGTATATGTATGAGAAGTGACAGTAGGTGTAGTATATGTATGAGAAGTGACAGTAGGTGTAGTATATGTATGAGAAGTGACAGTAGGTGTAGTATATGTATGAGAAGTGACAGTAGGTGTAGTATATGTATGAGAAGTGACAGTAGGTGTAGTATATGTATGAGAAGTGACAGTAGGTGTAGTATATGTATGAGAAGTGACAGTAGGTGTAGTATATGTATGAGAAGTGACAGTAGGTGTAGTATATGTATGAGAAGTGACAGTAGGTGTAGTATATGTATGAGAAGTGACAGTAGGTGTAGTATATGTATGAGAAGTGACAGTAGGTGTAGTATATGTATGAGAAGTGACAGTAGGTGTAGTATATGTATGAGAAGTGACAGTAGGTGTAGTATATGTATGAGAAGTGACAGTAGGTGTAGTATATGTATGAGAAGTGACAGTAGGTGTAGTATATGTATGAGAAGTGACAGTAGGTGTAGTATATGTATGAGAAGTGACAGTAGGTGTAGTATATGTATGAGAAGTGACAGTAGGTGTAGTATATGTATGAGAAGTGACAGTAGGTGTAGTATATGTATGAGAAGTGACAGTAGGTGTAGTATATGTATGAGAAGTGACAGTAGGTGTAGTATATGTATGAGAAGTGACAGTAGGTGTAGTATATGTATGAGAAGTGACAGTAGGTGTAGTATATGTATGAGAAGTGACAGTAGGTATAGTATATGTATGAGAAGTGACAGTAGGTATAGTATATGTATGAGAAGTGACAGTAGGTGTAGTATATGTATGAGAAGTGACAGTAGGTGTAGTATATGTATGAGATGTGACAGTAGGTGTAGTATGTGTATGAGAAGTGACAGTAGGTGTAGTATATGTATGAGAAGTGACAGTAGGTGTAGTATATGTATGAGAAGTGACAGTAGGTGTAGTATATGTATGAGAAGTGACAGTAGGTATAGTATATGTATGAGAAGTGACAGTAGGTATAGTATATGTATGAGAAGTGACAGTATATTTAATTTTGGTGGGAGATGTGACACACGTGATGTGACACACAATATCACATCATGTCATATGACGTTTGTCACATTATATCATATGATATATGTCGCATTATGTCATATGACATATGTCACATTATGTCATATGATGTATCACATTATGGCATATGACATTTGTCACATTTTGTCATATGACATATGTCACATTATGTCATATGATATATGTCACATTATGTCATATGACGTCCCACCAGGACATCCAGTCACAATTATGTCACATATCGTTTCACACTAAGCCACACTTAATCAAAATACCCTAATGCCACAGAGTGTAAACCTGTGTCGCATTATATCACGCACGTCACAAAGTCACGTATATCATGTTATGTGACACCGTATCACCCAAAACCAACAACAAGACCAAATATTAAACAAAAGAAATGTGGTTTTACACCATTGTTATAACACATTGACTCAGCCTTAGAGCAACTCTGTATTTGGTTGTTATTTCAAGCCACTTACCGGTAATTAAGTCAAACGTCATGTTTTCTCACATTCATTCCATTCATGTCGAGCAGCAGTTATATCCACGGACCTAATAGAAGTTTCTGATTCAACTTTTCACTATGATATAGTCACAAATCGTCACATACCGTCACAGGGCGTCACGTTTTGTCACACGACGGCACATCGTGTCACACTACGTCTCATTATATCTCAACATGTCGCATAATGTGACACAACGTCACACAACGTCACATTTTGTCACACTACGCAACATTGCTTCACATCACGTCTAATTTTGTCAGAACACGTCAGATCATGTGACAATACATCACTTTACGTCACATCTCGTCGCTACATGTCACATCAATAATTTTTTACCCCCCCCCCCCCCCCTCCCCCATGATACACTAACCTAAGCAACCTTCCTTGATTGGATTTTTCCTCATTATTTAGCCCATATGGAATATCCCCGCGTGTGACGTCATCTTCTGTCAGGTGTTTTCCTCGCAGGTAAAATTTGTTGTCAAACCTCTCCCCACCGTGCAGAGGAAAATACTGTATCTTCAAACCTGGTGTAAACATTGTTCGGGAAAGATCTCAGGGTAATTAAAATCTTCATGAAAAGTTTATAACATTTGTATAACTGAATATATTTGGGGTCATCCATAAATGACGTCACGCTATTTTTGACGATTTTTACCTCCCCCCTCCCCTCCGTCACACATTGTCACAAAAAGCTAGACCCCCCCCCCCCTAAAATGACGTCGCAGCTGAACCTACAACACCTCCCCCCCCCCCCTCAAAATTGCTGTTGAATTTTGTTAAACATCGATATTTTTTCCAAAATCTTGTCAGAACTCTGTCAACATAAAGTGTTTTGGTCAAATCCTATTACAATTTATTTAAACAGTTTTCTAAAACGCGAAATAACTTCTAAAATCGTTTTCTAACATTGCTTTTTTATAATGCAAAAGTGTGACGTCGCACCATCTGAACCCCCCTCCCCCTCATTACACACCGTCTCAAAATTACGTCGTTTATGGACGTCCCCTTTTGTATTAAGGATCATGGTATTTCCAATGTCCGACAAAGTAGACTCTTCCGAAAATAGGTGTGTTAGGTTGTTATTAGTATTTGGTATTGCAATTTCAGAATTACTGTTTTGGTCAGAAATTGGCTCTGGTTTGGGTTAGAGTTGGCATTAGCAAGTCATTGTTGTAGTT